GTACCACTACCACCATCACTGCCACTGGTACCACTACCACCATCACTGCTACTGGTACCACTACCACCATCACTGCTACTGGTACCACTACCACCATCACTGCTACTGGTACCACTACCACCATCACTGCTACTGGTACCACTACCACCATCACTGCTACTGGTACCACTACCACCATCACTGCTACTGGTACCACTACCACCATCACTGCTACTGGTACCACTACCACCATCACTGCTACTGGTACCACTACCACCATCACTGCTACTGGTACCACTACCACCATCACTGCTACTGGTACCACTACCACCATCACTACTACTGGTACCACTATCACCCACACAAACCTGTCCACCTTCCTACCTCCCACACGCCTAGCCAGACACCTACCAACCCAAGCAACCCACCTAACCCATCGAGGCCGGTACATTGCAAACGTCGATATTATGTTATCTTACTTTTGCGTCACATTTTTATCTGATTGGTCGATAACGTCTGAAGTGTCACGCATTACAGTCAACTCCCGACAGTGCCTGGACGACTGTGACCAGCTGGGTAGATGACGGTGACCAGCTGGGTAGATGACGGTGACCAGCTGGGTAGATGACGGTGACCAGCTGGGTAGATGACGGTGACCAGCTGGGTAGATGAAGCTATATTAGCTAGTAGATGAAGCTGTACCAGCAGGGAAGACTTTTGATGGCTTGCTCCACGTCTCGTAAAGCTGGGAAGTAAAGAGTCCAACGAGGACAGAGATAACCTTTTATGAGAGGGGGGCGGAGCGCCGGCCAGCCGAAACCCCTTCATCCTCACTCTTGTGCCGGGTGACAACGCCCCCACCCAGCACAATGTTCGGTACGTCTACGTCAAGGAGACGTGACTGCAAGCAAAGGCCTTGACGTCTACGTCAAGGAGACGTGACTGCAAGCAAAGGCCTTGACGTCTACGTCAAGGAGACGTGACTGCAAGCAAAGGCCTTGACGTCTACGTCAAGGAGACGTGACTGCAAGCAAAGGCCTTGACGTCTACGTCAAGGAGACGTGACTGCAAGCAAAGGCCTTGACGTCTACGTCAAGGAGACGTGACTGCAAGCAAAGGCCTTGACGTCTACGTCAAGGAGACGTGACTGCAAGCAAAGGCCTTGACGTCTACGTCAAGGAGACGTGACTGCAAGCAAAGGCCTTGACGTCTACGTCAAGGAGACGTGACTACAAGCAAAGGCCTTGACGTCTACGTCAAGGAGACGTGACTGCAAGCAAAGGCCTTGACGTCTACGTCAAGGAGCGCGACTGATCGCAAAGTTAGACTTGCAAGTCTTCGAAGATAAACAAAATCACAAAAGCTTGTAGTCACATATGACGTACAAACCTGCTACACCTGTTGAATGGCGTCGTTGTGCACATGTGGAGTGTACACGCTGGTGTGCCTCTAACCCAGCCTCCTGACAGATAGTACTTATCGCGACTATGGAGAGAATGTACAAAATATGAACTGTTTCACCCAACAAAATGTTCACATTTTGTACTACTGGTGTTCTGCAGAACTTAAGAAAATCTGGAACTGTTCATTAACCCAACCTAAATTTCAATTTTGCCCCGAGGGGCGAGTTTATTGGGCAGCGTCACTCATCCTGTGAGTGGACACACCGCCATAGTGACAGTATTGGGCAGCGCCACTCATCCTGTGAGTGAACACACCGCCATAGTGACAGTATTGGGCAGCGTCACTCATCCTGTGAGTGGACACACCGCCATAGTGACAGTATTGGGCAGCGTCACTCATCCTGTGAGTGGACACACCGCCATAGTGACAGTATTGGGCAGCGTCACTCATCCTGTGAGTTGACACTCCGCCAGTGACAGTATTGGGCAGCGCCACTCATCCTGTGAGTGAACACACCGCCATAGTGAAAGTATTGGGCAGCGTCACTCATCCTGTGAGTTGACACTCCGCCATAGTGACAGTATTGGGCAGCGCCACTCATCCTGTGAGTGGACACACCGCCATAGTGACAGTATTGGGCAGTGCCTCTCATCCTGTGAGTGGACACACTGCCATAGTGACAGTATTGGACAGCGTCACTCATCCTGTGAGTGGACACTCCGCCATAGTGACAGTATTGGGCAGCGCCACTCATCCTGTGAGTGGACACACCGCCATAGTGACAGTATTGGGCAGTGCCACTCATCCTTTGAGTGGACACACCGCCATAGTGACAGTATTGGGCAGCGCCACACATCCTGTGAGTGGACACACCGCCATAGTGACAGTATTGGGCAGCGCCACTCATCCTGTGAGTGGACACACCGCCATAGTGACAGTATTGGACAGCGCCACTCATCCTGTGAGTGGACACACCGCCATAGTGACAGTATTGGGCAGCGCCACTCATCCTGTGAGAGGACACACCGCCATAGTGACAGTATTGGACAGCGCCACTCATCCTGTGAGTGGACACACCGCCATAGTGACAGCATTGGGCAGCGTCACTCATCCTGTGAGTGGACACACCGCCATAGCAGCGTGTACAACACTCCCCAATAGGAAGAAAACCCGCTGGGTTCATCCTGTCACTTGTACCCAGACACAGCTGGGACTTGCTTAACTGTCTCAAGTGAACAGCTCCTCAAACAAGAAGATTAACATCTATCAACCCTTAAAAACTTACGTTATCTTGCGGGTGCAAAATGGGGGAATCTTTTAAGAACAGCATCAATATTTGACAAATAGTGTTTTCCTAACTCAAACAATGTGGGGTTTATTATTCTACACATATTCCTAATGTCTCTCAGGTGTTGACATTCTCTCAGGTAGTGGTCAAGGCGGTGTCCGTCGCTCTCACCACAGATTCTGCAACTCCGCTGCTCAACTGTTGTTTCCATTCCGAGTCTCCAAGGATATTTGTATCCAAGATTCTCGCTATTACTGATTCTCTCCCTCGTCCTCCTCTTCGTCCATAATGATTGGGATTGCCAGCTGCAACCATGTTGTACCATCGTACAGATTCACTGGTTTGTGCTTCTATCCTCCTTTCCTCAGTTACCTTGTCATGGCGATGTTGCCTGATTTTATTATTTTTTATTAACACATTTAGGTACAGGTGTATGTGTGCAGCTGCCCTAGACTATATGAAGGGGAGTACAGAGTGTGAAAAAGCTAGCTACGTGATGCTAAAAATCTCCATCACACAGGAAATTGCCTGATGATACCTCTGCCCGAAACGCTTTGCGTAATAGTGGCTTAAGGCATTGTATGTACCACCTCTATCTATAAATCTGTCAATTTTTGTAAAACCTTTTGTATGTGTGTACTTTACCTGAATAAGCATTTATTTATTATTATTTATCTTGTCGAGGAGTCTTGTGTGTGAAGTGTTCACCTGTCCCATCACTAAGAAATACTAGGCCTAGCAGATGCGAACTGAGGCTAGTTCTATACGTTCATAACTAGGCCTAGGGAAGATTAGGTTCGGTTTATGACTGTTCTCTGACCCTCTACCAAATGAATAGTACAAAATTTGACTTATTTAGGCGTAAAATTTGTTATTTTGAGTACTATTGATACGAGTATTATGAGTACTCTCATTTTACGAGGAGACTTTGCAAGATAGTGCATGAGGGGCGGTGTGTGAGGGGGGGGGGGACGTAGTCGTTCATGAGGTAAGAGTCGTTAATGAGAAATGGTAGATAATAAGTGAGTTTTGTCATAAGTGAGTGATTTAAATCTAAGTGAATTATGGTCGTCGGTGTGGGAGTGGTCGTCGGTGTGGGAGTGGTTGTCGGTGTGGATTTGTGGTCGTCAATGCGCGAGTTATTGTCCTCATTGAGCTGAGGTCGTCAATGAACATTTACCTCAAATAACACTGAACAAATAACTACGAATGATCTCTATCACTTTCCAAGGAGAAGCCTTACAAAAAAATGCTTCCGAACAAGACGTAAGTTAATAGGCAGTGTAATACGACCTCTGGTCGTACGTCATACCTTCATACGAAGTGATACGACCTCTGGTAGTTTCTGGTGTATGCACAAACCAGTACTTACAGGCACTAACGCAAAGCAGAACGACCTCTGGTACAGCCATTAACACGACCTCTGGTACAGCCACCAACACGACCTCTGGTACTGCCACTAACACGACCTCTGGTACTGCCACTAACACGACCTCTGGTACTGCCACTAACACGACCTCTGGTACTGCCACTAACACGACCTCTGGTACAGCCACTAACACGACCTCTGGTACAGCCACTAACACGACCTCTGGTACAGCCACTAACACGACCTCTGGTACAGCCACTAACACGACCTCTGGTACTGCCACCAACACGACCTCTGGTACAGCCACCAACACGACCTCTGGTACAGCCACTAACACGACCTCTGGTACAGCCACTAACACGACCTCTGGTACAGCCACTAACACGACCTCTGGTACAGCCACTAACACGACCTCTGGTACAGCCACTAACACGACCTCTGGTACAGCCACTAACACGACCTCTGGTACTGCCACCAACACGACCTCTGGTACTGCCACTAACACGACCTCTGGTACTGCCACTAACACGACCTCTGGTACAGCCACTAACACGACCTCTGGTACTGCCACCAACACGACCTCTGGTACTGCCACCAACACGACCTCTGGTACTGCCACCAACACGACCTCTGATACAGCCACTACCACAATACAGAACGACCCGTCGTACTCACCACCCATCCCATAGTGTACTAATCCCCTTACTCACCTCAGCAAATACAAGTCGCTTCATTAGGATCACTAACTGCACAACCCACAAGACCTGTGACCGGCCGGGGGGGGGGGGGGGGGGGGGCGGGGAGGGGGGGGGAGGGGGAGGGGAAGGGGGAGGGGGAGGGGGGAAAGGGGGGGGGGTTGAGAGTCCGATAAATTACCTCCGTGGCGCAACAGGCTGAAAAAAAATCCTGACAGAAATGGATTAAAGATGTCGGACATTAATTAAAGCGGGAAATTCTAGCCCTGGACGTATTTGGGTCACGGGTGGAGGCGCCGAGGAAATATCTTCTGTTAGCTGGAGTATGCTGAGAGCTGGAGTATGCTGAGAGCTGGAGTATGCTGAGAGCTGGAGTGTGCTGAGAGCTGGAGTGTGCTGAGAGCTGGAGTGTGCTGAGAGCTGGAGTGTGCTGAGAGCTGGAGTGTGCTGAGAGCTGGAGTGTGCTGAGAGCTGGAGTATGCTGAGAGCTGGAGTATGCTGAGAGCTGGAGTATGCTGAGAGCTGGAGTATGCTGAGAGCTGGAGTATGCTGAGAGCTGGAGTATGCTGAGAGCTGGAGTGTGCTGAGAGCTGGAGTGTGCTGAGAGCTGGAGTATGCTGAGAGCTGGAGTGTGCTGAGAGCTGGAGTGTGCTGAGAGCTGGAGTGTGCTGAGAGCTGGAGTATGCTGAGAGCTGGAGTATGCTGAGAGCTGGAGTATGCTGAGAGCTGGAGTGTGCTGAGAGCTGGAGTGTGCTGAGAGCTGGAGTGTGCTGAGAGCTGCAGTATGCTGAGAGCTGGAGTGTGCTGAGAGCTGAAGTGTGCTGAGAGCTGCAGTATGCTGAGAGCTGGAGTGTGCTGAGAGCTGGAGTATGCTGAGAGCTGGAGTGTGCTGAGAGCTGGAGTGTGCTGAGAGCTGGAGTGTGCTGAGAGCTGGAGTGTGCTGAGAGCTGGAGTGTGCTGAGAGCTGGAGTGTGCTGAGAGCTGGAGTGTGCTGAGAGCTGGAGTATGCTGAGAGCTGCACTATGCTGAGAGCTGCATTATGCTGAGAGCTGGAGTATGCTGAGAGCAAGATGGGATTTTGTGAAATCGTCCCCCGAGTGATCCCAAAGAATTTGTTTGAGGGTGAGGGTTGTCTTGTGTGGGTGTGGGTTGTCTTGTGTGGGTGTGGGTTGTCTTGTGTGGGTGTGGGTTGTCTTGTGTGGGTGTGGGTTGTCTTGTGTGGGTGTGGGTTGTCTTGTGTGGGTGTGGGTTGTCTTGTGTGGGTGTGGGTTGTCTTGTGTGGGTGTGGGTTGTCTTGTGTGGGTGTGGGTTGTCTTGTGAGGGTGTGGGTTGTCTTGTGAGGGTGTGGGTTGTCTTGTGAGGGTGTGGGTTGTCTTGTGTGGGTGTGGGTTGTCTTGTGTGGGTGTGGGTTGTCTTGTGTGGGTGTGGGTTGTCTTGTGTGGGTGTGGGTTGTCTTGTGTGGGTGTGGGTTGTCTTGTGTGGGTGTGGGTTGTCTTGTGAGGGTGTGGGTTGTCTTGTGTGGGTGTGGGTTGTCTTGTGAGGGTGTGGGTTGTCTTGTGTGGGTGTGGGTTGTCTTGTGAGGGTGTGGGTTGTCTTGTGTGGGTGTGGGTTGTCTTGTGTGGGTGTGGGTTGTCTTGTGTGGGTGTGGGTTGTCTTGTGTGGGTGTGGGTTGTCTTGTGTGGGTGTGGGTTGTCTTGTGTGGGTGTGGGTTGTCTTGTGTGGGTGTGGGTTGTCTTGTGTGGGTGTGGGTTGTCTTGTGTGGGTGTGGGTTGTCTTGTGTGGGTGTGGGTTGTCTTGTGTGGGTGTGGGTTGTCTTGTGTGGGTGTGGGTTGTCTTGTGTGGGTGTGGGTTGTCTTGTGTGGGTGTGGGTTGTCTTGTGTGGGTGTGGGTTGTCTTGTGTGGGTGTGGGTTGTCTTGTGTGGGTGTGGGTTGTCTTGTGTGGGTGTGGGTTGTCTTGTGTGGGTGTGGGTTGTCTTGTGTGGGTGTGGGTTGTCTTGTGTGGGTGTGGGTTGTCTTGTGTGGGTGTGGGTTGTCTTGTGTGGGTGTGGGTTGTCTTGTGTGGGTGTGGGTTGTCTTGTGTGGGTGTGGGTTGTCTTGTGTGGGTGTGGGTTGTCTTGTGTGGGTGTGGGTTGTCTTGTGTGGGTGTGGGTTGTCTTGTGTGGGTGTGGGTTGTCTTGTGTGGGTGTGGGTTGTCTTGTGTGGGTGTGGGTTGTCTTGTGTGGGTGTGGGTTGTCTTGTGTGGGTGTGGGTTGTCTTGTGTGGGTGTGGGTTGTCTTGTGTGGGTGTGGGTTGTCTTGTGTGGGTGTGGGTTGTCTTGTGTGGGTGTGGGTTGTCTTGTGTGGGTGTGGGTGGGTTGTCTTGTGTGGGTGTGGGTTGTCTTGTGTGGGTGTGGGTTGTCTTGTGTGGGTGTGGGTTGTCTTGTGTGGGTGTGGGTTGTCTTGTGTGGGTGTGGGTTGTCTTGTGTGGGTGTGGGTTGTCTTGTGTGGGTGTGGGTTGTCTTGTGTGGGTGTGGGTTGTGTGTTGGTGTGGGTCTTGTGTGGGTGTGGGTTGTCTTGTGAGGGTGTGGGTTGTCTTGTGTGGGTGTGGGTTGTCTTGTGTGGGTGTGGGTTGTCTTGTGTGGGTGTGGGTTGTCTTGTGTGGGTGTGGGTTGTCTTGTGTGGGTGTGGGTTGTCTTGTGTGGGTGTGGGTTGTCTTGTGTGGGTGTGGGTTGTCTTGTGTGGGTGTGGGTTGTCTTGTGTGGGTGTGGGTTGTCTTGTGTGGGTGTGGGTTGTCTTGTGTGGGTGTGGGTTGTCTTGTGTGGGTGTGGGTTGTCTTGTGTGGGTGTGGGTTGTCTTGTGTGGGTGTGGGTTGTCTTGTGTGGGTGTGGGTTGTCTTGTGTGGGTGTGGGTTGTCTTGTGTGGGTGTGGGTTGTCTTGTGTGGGTGTGGGTTGTCTTGTGTGGGTGTGGGTTGTCTTGTGAGGGTGTGGGTTGTCTTGTGTGGGTGTGGGTTGTCTTGTGTGGGTGTGGGTTGTCTTGTGTGGGTTGGTGTGGGTTGTCTTGTGTGGGTGTGGGTTGTCTTGTGTGGGTGTGGGTTGTCTTGTGTGGGTGTGGGTTGTCTTGTGTGGGTGTGGTTGTCTTGTTGTCTTGTGTGGGTGTGTGGTTGTCTTGTGTGGGTGTGGGTTGTCTTGTGTGGGTGTGGGTTGTCTTGTGTGGGTGTGGGTTGTCTTGTGTGGGTGTGGGTTGTCTTGTGTGTGGGTGTGGGTTGTCTTGTGTGGGTGTGGGTTGTCTGAGGGTGTGTGGTGTGGGTGGGTTGTCTTGTTGTGTGGGTTGGTGTGTGGGTTGTCTTGTGTGGGTGTGGGTTGTCTTGTGTGGGTGTGGGTTGTCTTGTGTGGGTGTGGGTTGTCTTGTGTGGGTGTGGGTTGTCTTGTGTGGGTGTGGGTGTCTTGTGTGGTCTTGTGTGGGTTGTCTTGTGTGGGTGTGGGTTGTCTTGTGTGGGTGTGGGTTGTCTTGTGTGGGTGTGGGTTGTCTTGTGTGGGTGTGGGTTGTCTTGTGTGGGTGTGGGTTGTCTTGTGTGGGTGTGGGTTGTCTTGTGTGGGTGTGGGTTGTCTTGTGTGGGTGTGGGTTGTCTTGTGTGGGTGTGGGTTGTCTTGTGTGGGTGTGGGTTGTCTTGTGTGGGTGTGGGTTGTCTTGTGTGGGTGTGGGTTGTCTTGTGTGGGTGTGGGTTGTCTTGTGTGGGTGTGGGTTGTCTTGTGTGGGTGTGGGTTGTCTTGTGTGGGTGTGGGTTGTCTTGTGAGGGTGTGGGTTGTCTTGTGAGGGTGTGGGTTGTCTTGTATTCACCTAAATGTACTCGCCTAGTTGTGCTTGCGGGGGTTGAGCTCTGGCTCTTTGGTCCCGCCTCTTAACCGTCAATCAACTGGTGTACAGATTCCTGAGCCTATTGGGCTCTATCATATCTACATTTGAAACTGTGTATGGAGTCAGCCTCCACCACATCACTGCCTAATGCATTCCCTTTACTAACTACTCTGACACTGAAAAAGTTCTTTCTAATGTCCTTGTGGCTCATCTGGTACTCAGCTTCCACCTGTGTCCCCTTGTTCGTGTACCACCCGTGTTAAATAATCCATCCTTGTCCACCCTGTCAATTCCCCAGAGAATTTTGTATGTGGTGATCATATCTCCCCGAGCTCTTCTGTCTTCCAGCGACGTAAGGTGCAGTTCACGTAGTCTGTCCTCATAACTCATGCCTCTTAGTTCTGGGACTAGCCAAGTTGCATACCTCTGAACTTTTTCCAGCTTCGTCTTGTGCTTGACAAGGTCCGGGCTCCATGCTGGGGCCACATACTCCAGGATTGGTCTTACATATGTGGTACATAAGGTTCTGAATGATTCCTTACACAGGTTTCTGAAAGCAGTTCTGATGTTAGCCAGCATCGCATATGCCGCAGACGTTATTCTTTTTATGTGGGCTTCGGGAGACAGGTTTGGTGTGATGTCAACTCCTAGATCTTTCTCTCTGTCCGTTTCATGAAGGACTTCATCTCCCATTCGGTATCCAGTGACTGGCCTCCTAGTTCCTCCCCCTAGTTTCATTACCTTACATTTACCTGGGTTGAACTTTAGTAGCCATTTGTCGGACCATTCCTTCAGTTTGTCTAGGTCATCTTGTAGCCTTATACTATCCTCCTCTGTCCTGATCCTCCTCATAATTTTTGCGTCATCAGCAAACATCGAGAGGAACGAGTCAATTCTTTCTGTGAGATCATTTACGTATATCAGAAACAGTATAGGTCCAAGGACTGATCCCTGTGGGACTCCACTGGTGACTCCCCGCCACTCTGAGACCTCACCCCTGGTGACTCGCTGTGTCCTGTTGCTTAGGTACTCTCTTACCCAGTGGAGTACCTTCCCTTTCACTCCTGCCTGCATCTCCAGTTTGTGCACTAGTCTCTTATGTGGTACTGTGTCAAAAGCTTTCTGGCAGTCCAGAAATATGCAGCCTGCCCAGCCCTCTCTCTCTTGCCTAATTTTTGTTGCTTGGTAGGTTGTGGGTTGTGGGTTGTGCGGGTTGTCTTGTGTGGGTGTGGGTTGTGTGTACTCACCTAGTTGCACTCGCCTAGTTGTGCTTGCGGGGGCTGAGCTCTGGCTCTTTGGTCCCGCCTCTCAACTGTCAATCAACTGGTGTACAGATTCCTGAGCCTACTGGGCTCAATCATATCTACACTTGAAACTGTGTATTGAGTCAGCCTCCACCACATCACTGCCTAATGCATTCCATCTGTCAACCACTCTGACACTAAAAAAGTTCTTTCTAATATCTCTGTGGCTCATTTGGGCACTCAGTTTCCACTTGTGTCGTGTGTGGATGTGGGTTCTCGTGTGTGGATGTGGGTTCTCGTGTGTGGGTGTGGGTCCTCGTGTGTGGGTGTGTGGGTCCTCGTGTGTGGGTATGGGTGTGGGTGTGGGTCCTCGTGTGTGGGTGTGGGTCCTCGTGTGTGGGTGTGGGTCCTCGTGTGTGGGTGTGGGTCCTCGTGTGTGGGTGTGGGTCCTCGTGTGTGGGTGTGGCTCCTCGTGTGTGGGTGTGGGTTCTCGTGTGTGGGTGTGGGTCCTCGTGTGTGGGTGTGGGTCCTCGTGTGTGGGTGTGGCTCCTCGTGTGTGGGTGTGGGTTCTCGTGTGTGGGTGTGTGGGTCCTCGTGTGTGGGTGTGTGGGTCCTCGTGTGTGGGTGTGGGTCCTCGTGTGTGGGTGTGGGTCCTCGTGTGTGGGTGTGGGTCCTCGTGTGTGGGTGTGGGTCCTCGTGTGTGGGTGTGGCTCCTCGTGTGTGGGTGTGGGTTCTCGTGTGTGGGTGTGTGGGTCCTCGTGTGTGGGTGTGTGGGTCCTCGTGTGTGGGTGTGGGTCCTCGTGTGTGGGTGTGGGTCCTCGTGTGTGGGTGTGGGTCCTCGTGTGTGGGTGTGGGTCCTCGTGTGTGGGTGTGGGTCCTCGTGTGTGGGTGTGTGGGTCCTCGTGTGTGGGTGTGGTTCCTCGTGTGTGGGTGTGAGTCCTCGTGTGTGGGTGTGGGTCCTCGTGTGTGGGTGTGGGTCCTCGTGTGTGGGTGTGGGCACTCACATAAGAGAGCACATACCACAGCGCCACACGACAAGGAAGATCAACATTCACGAACTATTTCTGTAAGATAACTTCCAGAAAAAGTTGTCTTCACAACTGGAAATGTAACAACCGGAGTTTATTAAACTGGAACACGGCCTGGAATATATTTAAATATATATTTAAACCACTGGTTTCCAATTGATTTTATGGACTTAAAAAAAAACTTCTCGGGTGTGGCGGAGTGGAAGCACAGGCGCTTCCGCTCGTTATTCAACCCGTCCTCGACTCGAGTCCATTACATCCAGCGGTCGACCCCACAGACGCATTCATAAATTTTAACATGCTGTTCATTCAAAACGGGAATTTTCTCAAGTATAAATTAATATTATAATATATTAGCATATTGTGTATATATAGGCATAGGTTAGGTTAGGTGTTTAGGTTCTGTTGGCGATTATTTGTATTTGTAGTACGTGGGTGAAGCATTTATAGCGTTGTGGTTCGAACAAAATTCGTCAGTGAAACACTTGTTCCGGATATGTTTGAACGTCAGCAGTTGTGAGTCTTGTGTAAACCGCTTTTCATTCATAAACAGGGGGTTTGGCGGGTGCATGGAATCACTTTTGGATCTTTGTTTGGAGGACGGGCTGCGTTATTTCGGCCTGGTTCGAAGCCTTGGCACCCAACCCTGGCACCTTGGCAGAGAACATTGACTGGGCACCAAAACTGTTCACCTGTCAGTACTTGACTGTTCCAGTGGCAAGGCTTACCATGAGCTGTGGGGAGTGGGCGGGGTGGTGGGTGGTGGGGAAGAGTGTAGTGGGCGGGGTGGTGGGTGGAGGAGGGTGCCAGGGTGGTGAGGGTGGAGGGAGCGAGGGTGGAGGGAGCCAGGGTGGAGGGAGCCAGGGTGGGGAGGGTGGAGGGAGCCAGGGTGGGGAGGGTGGAGGGAGCCAGGGTGGGGAGGGTGGAGGGAGCCAGGGTGGGGAGGGTGGAGGGAGCCAGGGTGGAGGGAGCCAGGGTGGGGAGGGTGGAGGGAGCCAGGGTGGGGAGGGTGGAGGGAGCCAGGGTGGAGGGAGCCAGGGTGGGGAGGGTGGAGGTAAACAGTTCCCACACCACTGATCATAAACACTCCGGCAGCGTTGCTAATGACCGTCGTGTGTCTGCATAATGACGCCTCAACACACGCGCGCCATCGGCAACCCTGCAGGAGGGCCCAGCCGGCACGCTATTGGCTGAATAAATAACCAGACTCCACCCCTTTGACGCCTTCCCAACCTGCTACACGTTCGATTCCTTCCTCCACTTGAAGAAACGTCAAAACAACTCAGAATATTTGGGTTGAATCTTAAGATTTGTTTTAAATCTAAATTCTCATGATTGTTTGTGTTGTGGTAATTGCATGCAACACTGAGTCATGGTGTTGCAACTCAAGAATGAGCGGGAATTTATTGCAAGTGATATTTTGAAGTCAGTTGTGAGGGAACCGGAGGGAGTGTTGTGGGCGTGGTCCGGGCGGCGATAGTCACGTGGGTGTGAGAATTCTGGCGCGAACTGACTCACCATCAACCAGGTGTTGAGTAATAAACACGCCCCCTCCCTGCCTCTCCCCGCTCATCCCTGCCTCTCCCCGCCCCTCCCTGCCTCTCCCCGCCCCTCCCCGCCTCTCCCCACCCCTCCCCGCCCCTCAATCCCCACCCCCTATACCTCTATCTTATATACTGACTCCCCTTTACCTAGATGCTGCCCAAGTGACTCCCCTTTACCTAGATGCTCCCCAAGTGACTCCTTTACCTAGATGCTCCCCCACGACCACATATTACCTAGTATCCAAGGGGGCCAGGTACTCGAGGTCCTCCTGGAAGGGTCCACTGAAGCCATAAAGGTAGACACACATTGTCCAATACAGCTGATCATTGTTTACAAACACGCACACGTGTCTTACTAACACGTGTCTCACTAATACTTAAGAAGGGGGGTTGAGCTCTGGCTCTTTGGTCCTGCCTCTCAACTGTCAATCAACAGGTGTACAGGTTCCTGAGCCTATTGGGCTCTATCATATCTACATTATAAACTGTGTATGGAGTCAGCCTCCACCATATCACTGCCTAATGCATTCCACCTGTTAACTACTCTGACACTGAAAAAGTTCTTTCTAACGTCCCTGTGGCTAATGTGAGTACTTAGTCTCCACCTGTGTCCCCTTGTTCGTGTACCACCAGAGGATGAGCCGAATTATCGGAAGGAAGCAGTAAGATATTATGACTATAGGATTTGGAAGGGATATGAGACAAACTAAGAGCTGGGATATGACCGTTCTGCACATAGCAGCGATGGAACGACATGACAGGAGGTGGAAACAATGAGGATTGAACCCAAACCTTGCATGAAGCGAGCCCGTCACTGTACCGAGCCCGTCACTGTACCGAGCCCGTCACTGTACCGAGCCCGTCACTGTACCGAGCCCGTCACTATACCGAGCCCGTCACTGTACCGAGCCCGTCACTGTACCGAGCCCATCACTACCGAGCCCGTCACTGTACCGAGCCCGTCACTGTACCGAGCCCGTCACTGTACCGAGCCCGTCACTGTACTATTTATGATCCACAGACAATGAAAATTATTTTATACATAATTATAATTTAGACATCGACATGTGAAGTCACGTTAACAAGGAGAGCAAAAGACTGCTGCTATTTCCAGGTTACACAAGAGTACACAGGAGAGGGGCTAGGGCCGAGGACGGCGTCGAGGACGACCTATCCCTCCAGTAATATTGGGAAAACATTGAGCTCAGTGAGCTTGGAGGAGGAGACTGGTTTAATGGAACCTGTCATCCAGTTTTTACTCTACTGTTTGTGCAATTACAAACCCGGATACAGCACCCTTAACGAAGATAGCGACGTGCTCAGGTGAGCACTGAGCACCAGCAGCTGCAGTAGGAACAGCAACAGCAGCTGTAGGAGCAGCAGCAGCAGCTGTATTATGAGGAGTAGCAACATCAGCAGCAGCAGGAGCAGGAGCAGCAGCAGCAGCAGCTGTAGTATGAGGAGCAGCAACATCAGCAGGAGCAGCAGCAGTAGGAGCAGCAGCAGGAGCAGCAGCAGGAGCAGCAGCAGGAGCAGCAGCAGCTGTAGTATGAGGAGCAGCAACATCAGCAGGAGCAGCAGCAGGAGCAGCAGTAGGAGCAGCAGCAGCAGCGGTAGAGATATCCTAGGTACTAGAGAACACAGAGGCAGGTCTGGTCTCATCACTGAGATAAACTGAGTATTTATTATAAATTTAATTAAAAAAAAAACTTCAGAAGTCCAACAATTTGATTTAATATTGAGTTCCTGAATGTCTAATGAAATTATTTATTCATTCCCTAATTACCAATTCATTACAAATATCAAAGATATTGTAATTTATTAAATTATATTAAATAAACACGTATGTATTGGATCGACTCCACTAGTTATCAAAGGTATTTTTGGGGCAGAAAAAAAATAGTATCAAACACACTTATTGAAAGTTATTTTCAAGTGTTTTTTTATAAATCACTAAAAGAACATTTCCCGAGATTGTAAATAATTTATTTAATTAAACTGTGGACGAGAAATTCGCGTCCCGACCCCAGGTGAATATCTTAATTGGTGGTTCCCTGAACTGCCTTGTCTTATTTATTAAGGAAATTGCTCACCCTCTCATTGCTTCAATAAACTAATCATTAATTTAGATTGAATTATATTACCTAGAGCCCTGCCCGAAGACCGGGCCGCGAGGACGTTGATCCCCGAAATCATGGCAAGGTAAGGTAGAGTTTTAAACACTTTACCTCACCTCCCAGTGATCACCTTAGACACTGGGAGACAAGTCAGATGGGGTGATTAGCTGTCATGAATGGGCAGTCCTGGTGGTAGCAAGAGTACTGGTCGGACTAGTAGTCGTCTTAGCAGTAGTGGTCATAACAGTAGAGGCAGTGGTCGCAGAGTCGTCGTAGCAGTTGTCGTAGTAGTGGTCGCAGGAGTCTTCGTAGCAGTGGTTGCAGGAGTCGTCGTAGCAGTGGTTGCAGGAGTCGTCGTAGCAGTGGTTGCAGGAGTCGTCGTAGCAGTGGTCGCAGGAGTCGTCGTATCAGTCGTCGCAGGAGTCGTCGTAGCAGTGGTCGCAGGAGTCGTCGTAGCAGTGGTCGCAGGAGTCGTCGTAGCAGTGGTCGCAGGAGTCGTCGTAGTAGTGGTCGCAGGAGTCGTCGTAGCAGTGGTCGCAGGAGTCGTCGTAGCAGTGGTCGCAGGAGTCGTCGTAGTGGTGGTCGCAGGAGTCGTCGTAGTAGTGGTCGCAGAAGTCGTCGTAGCAGTGGTCGCAGGAGTCGTCGTAGTAGTGGTCGCAGGAGTCGTCGTAGCAGTGGTCGCAGGAGTCGTCGTAGCAGTGGTCGCAGGAGTCGTCGTAGTAGTGGTCGCAGGAGTCGTCGTAGCAGTGGTCGCAGGAGTCGTCGTAGTAGTGGTCGCAGGAGTCGTCGTAGTGGTGGTCGCAGGAGTCGTCGTAGTGGTGGTCGCAGGAGTCGTCGTAGCAGTGGTTAGCGAGGTAAAACAGTTGTATTTTTTACGTTTCTATTTAAGCATAAAATTTGTGTATATTTTGACATTAGTGGTAAGGCAGAACAGTTATTATTATTACGGAGCAGCAATGGAGTCATCAAACTGTTGGTGTAAGTTGCTGACGCTGAGGTTGTTCACTCTCTTCCCTCAGAGGTTACTGTGTCAACACACACACGCTTGTGTACATGATATGTGGGGTGTGTCTGAGGGATTGCCTCGTTGGACGCCAGGGGGTGCAGACGTGCTTGCCTGGAGCTGCGTGTGGGAGGGTGATGTTAGGTGTGTCGGCGCCATGGGGGCCCCCCTCCCCCCCCCTATTGTGCATGACCAGTCTGTTGGCCTCGAGTTTTCTAGTCGAGCTAACTCTCCTGCGGTGGGGGCAGTGCTGTGTGACATGCTGCGGATCCCTGTGGTGGATGTTTATGGCGTTGAATTGGTGACTTCCCGCAGGGTGGTTGTCAAGTTTACAACGGAGGAGGTGTATCGGGCGATTTTACGTCGTTACGAGGGGCAGACCATGCCCCTGCCAGAAGATGCAGGCACTGTGACTGTCTCCGATCAGAGTGGTGCCATCACGCATGTTAGCGTGCATGGAGTGCCATTGGACTTCCTGGAGGGGCTGCTGAGGCGTTATTTCGCCCAGTTTGGAGCGATCGTCAGTGTGCGGTTGCAACTTCTCTCTTCGGATCCACTTAAGGGTGTGCGGTTGAACATTCACACCCTGGGAATGCGGCTGCGGGTGGACATTCCGTCTCAAGTGAAACTCCTGGGTTGATACATTCGGGTCTATTATGCCCGACAGCGGCGTACGTGTTACCATTGTGGCCTCTTGGGGCCATCACGCTGCTGGGTGCTCTGCACCTACCGTCGCACTCGTTAACTTCTTCCGTGAGGAGGACTTCCTTTCACTCCCTGTGGAGAAGGATTTGGTGGATGTGGACGACTCTTTGACTGCTGCCGTGCCCCGTGTATCGCCTGTTGCACCTCCTGTTGCTGTTGCCTCTCCTCAGGAGGTTGTGTCGACGTCGGGTGCTCGTCCTGCCCCGGTTGCTGTCCCAGATGCTCCCGTGGTTCTTCCGGCTTCCCCGTCTTCATGTTCTTCAGCTGTGGTGCCTGTCACTGCGCCCTCGCTGGGTGCTGCGGTGGCTGTGGGGCCCCCTACTGTGCTCGACCTGGTTCCTCGTGTGGTTGAGGATGCTGCCGGCCTGCGGAGAGCATCGATTCGCCTGGCTTGTGTAGACCGGGTCTCTGAGTCGACATCCGGCTCTGATGATGTGCGGCCAGTGCCCAAGCGTTCTCGGCTTTCTGCTTCTGCCTGGGCTGATGTTGGAGAATCCGACGATGGTGGGTCTTCCAGCGATGGCGGTGTGGTTCGGTTGCGTCGCATTCTTTGGTGGTGGCGGAGGTCCATGTTCCTGCGGATGCCGGTGATGGTGTTTTGGACTTCCCTTCTGGTGTGGTGCCTCCTGCTGAGGTTCGTGCTGAGCATTGTGACCTGGTGGTGGTGTTGAAGAAGGCTGTTCGCTTTGGGGATTCCGTACCATAGCCTCGGTCCCTGTTTCCTCGGTGGCGATTTTGCCGCCTCTCCCGTCTCTGGCTGTATCTTCTGCTTCTCCTGCGGTGTCGGGGGTTGTGTTACCTCCTCGGCAGGCTTCGCCTTCTCCTGTGCAGCCGGTGGCGGGGCCGTCTCGGTGGCCAACGTACACCTCTTCGGTACCTTCTGATTCCTCCGGGGAGGTGGTTCGCCGCACCCTTCCTCGTTATGCAACTTCTGCCGACCAGCTCCGAGAGCTGCTGTTTCCGCCTGATTTAGTGATTCCTGAATTTTTGACGCCCCCCCCTCCCGGAAGCAGGGGGATCGTTCCCCTACCGACATGGAGTATTTGATTTGGGAGGCCTATACGAATAAATATCCTCTGTATGAGTTCCCTGAGAAATATATACCTCCCGTTACGATCTGTTCTCCTTTCTCGTGGTTTTCTTGTTTGCTGTGTTGTGGTGTTGTGGCCGTTTGTGTGCGTGGATGTGGAGTGCGGTTGCGTGTGTGTGTGTGTGTGTGCGCCGGGTTTGTTTTCCCGGTCCCTGCGTGCTTCGTCTTTCCGGCTCCTGTGCGTTCCGGTGTGCACTTGTTTGTGTGGCAGTTGTGTGCCACTTGGGCTGCTTGTGTGGCAGTTGTGTGCCACTTGGGCTGCTTGTGTGGTAGTTGTGTGCCACTTGGGCTGCTTGTGTGGCAGTTGTGTGCCACTTGGGCTGCTTGTGTGGTAGTTGTGTGCCACTTGGGCTGCTTGTGTGGTAGTTGTGTGCCACTTGGGCTGCTTGTGTG